TTTTGGCGTGGCTCGGTACTTATGCATCCCGCCAATGTGTTGTTGTGCTGTGGTCATTTTTTGTATCCTTGTCTTTCATTTTTTGCTTATGTGCTATGTCTATATGCCATTTTGTTTTTCTTTGTTGGCATATTTGTTTGTTTTTATACTGATTAAGATTATAACACAATGTTGAATGCTGTACCCCTATTTTTGACATTTTTACCTATTATGTCTGTTTGTTTTGTTCACACATTGTTGTCAATATAATAGAATTTATGCGACTGTCATACAAGTGAGAGTTTTAGCTAGCTCACGATAAAACCAGGTTTAATCCACCATTTTCTACATATGTTTGCTGGCGCCAAATCCTCCCCCTAACCTTGGATAGTGGTGTAAAAGTACAACATAAGAACAAACTATAAAAATCAGTTAAAAATGGCTTAACTAATCAGATCGATACAAAGCAGAAAACATCTAACGAAAACACAAACCGGACGTGGCAGTGTACATATACACCCCACAACAAAAAAGACACTAAGTAAAGCTCTGAGAGTACTCGCAGTTACTTACAGCTAGTTCAAAGCCAATAACAACGAATGAAATAATCATGTATCTAAGACTTTAATATCTATCAGTACACATCAACATCCACCGGATTTAGTGTAAAGACGTCATTAACAGTAAGAGAAAAACATGACTTTGTGCAATGCCAATATCTAGGTATTAAGTTTGTTTAATCTGGATAGATAGGATCCAATTCTCTTGAGAACATTCAGCGGTTGTGGTGCTTTTCTACACAGTTAATTATGTGTGCATCAAATTTTAGTTGGTAATTAATATCAATAATTCCAAGTAACTTGACAGTTTCTTCGCATGATCAAATATTTTGCTGAATTTGGATAGCAAAGTTTTTTTCCCTACAGCAACAACCTGGAATTTATCAGGATTTGCCTGCATCTTATTTTCTTTGAACCACTCAATCAATACTAGAGACTCAGATTGTAATATAAATATGAGATGGTCATAATCAGGATTACTGAAAGACCTGGAAGGATTTTGATGATTTTTAATCGAAAAATTTAGTAATTTTTCCATTTGAAAAATTGCAAAATTTTTTCGTTTCCGTTCTCTAACTTAAGTTTGCCTCAAACAAATGTTTTGAAACTTATACACAATGCTTATTACCACAAAACACAGATCAAGTTTGGATTTTGGTGGCGTCACTTTAACCGTTCTAGAGGTATGCCCCTTTATAAATGGAAAAATTGCAAAATTTTTATTTTCTTCTAAATATCAAGTAATATTTAAAATATGGGTCATCTTCCTTTGTCCATGATTATAGTTGAATCAACTACAATCAATGCTTTATACAATGCAATGTTTAATTTTAACTTCCACTGTTAAAACACAGATCAAGTTGAATTTGGGTAGTGTCACTTTAACCATTATTGAGTTATGCCCCTTTATAAATCGAAAGATTGCAAAATGTTTAGTTTCCATTCTGTAACTTAAGTTTGCCCCAACCAAACATTATGAAACCTATACACAATATTCATTACCACAAAACTAAATCAAGTACAATTTTTTTGTTTCCGTTTTCTAACTTTAGTTTGCCTCAACCAAATGTTATGAAACTTATACACAATGCTTATTACTACATAATACAGATTAAGTACGAAATTTGGTGTCGACACTTTTACCATTCTAGAGTTATGTCCCTTTATAAACATAAAAATTGCTGAATTTTTTAGTTTGTCTCAACCAAATGTTATAAAACTTATACACAACCGTTCTAGAGTTATGCGTGTTTACAAATAGAAAAATTGCTGAATTTTTAGTTTCTGTTCTCTACTTAAGTTAGCCTCAACCAAATGTTGTGAGACTTACACACAATGCTTATTACCACAAAACTCAGATCAAGTTCAAATTTGGGTAGCGTCACTTTTACCGTTCTTCAGTTATGTCACTTTATTAATATATGATATGCAAGCGGGGGCATCATCTGTGTCCACATGTGGACACTATCCACATTTATTTGTTTTGTTATCTTATAGCATCTTAATCTTTTCAATATGGTGCGATTTTGAAAATTGTGTATTCATTACGTTGACCAGCTATCATACACCCGTCTTGGTTTATTTACATTAGAATACACCCTTTTGCGTTTACACAAATTTCGGATTAAATGGTCATGAATCCGGAGTCAAAACACTTGAGGTAGGTAGTTTGATATCCGAATTCAACTAGCATAAGATTTGAGCCTAGAATAAATATACGTGATGACACAAAATGAATGCGTATCATAATCCATAATATAAGCTAGTGCGTATGCTTTCCATTTACTATTTCTTGCGCTGCGGAAGAACACCACGTGCATGCATAAATATTAATTTCACTCGCTGACTGTAAATGTTTGCCTTTCTTATCCAGAGTATCAGTGCGTATGCTTTCCATTTACTATTTCTTGCTCTGCGTAAGAGAATCAGGTGCATACATAGATATTAATTTCACTCGCGGACAGTAAATTTTTGCCATTCTTATCTTAATTCAGGACACGGCAGTATATATAATAGCTGGACATGTGACGTTGAATCATGGTCATCATAAGTTAAGGTATTTTGACCTCTAGCTGTTTCTCTTTTCGTTTTCTTTTTTTGAGTGACTGTCCTATTGTAAACTTTGAAGTTTTTGAAATACTAAGGATATTTCTTCCCGAGGAATAAATAGATTACCGTAGATGTATTTGGCAAAACCTTTGTTTCGAAGTTTTTGGGTCTTCAATGTTTTTTCAACTTTGTACTTTATTTGGCCTTTTTTACATTCTTTATTCGAGCGTCACTGATGAGTCTTTTGTGGACGAAATACGTATATCATGTATCTGGCGTACAATATTTTAATCCTGGTATCTATACATTTTTATACATACCTTTTGTATAGTAATTGGTTCTTTTGAGAGTATATTCACTTATTTATAAAACTCAGTCTTCAGAACTAAGTTCTAAGTTTTTTCCTATAGAATATTTGGATTGATTAAAGTAACTTCAGGAAATCCTTAAAATTTGAGATGTTTTAAAAGACCAAAATAATTGTCAGTATAAAAAGGTCCCAATGGAGCTGGTGTGTTACTCTCCGAAAAACAAAATACGAAACCGTCTTATCAGTTGCATGCTACAGAGTTGCACTTCACATGGAAGTTAGACTTTCAATTCCTCTATATACAACATCTACCGTGAGTACAGACGGCAGCTTCAATAATGAATATATAAGAATATTACATATGGTGTAGCATTCTCCTATTTTCATTGATATTACGATCACGTGTTTCAAAGGTTATTTTATGTATCGGAAGCCTTGTTTCTATTTTTAAGTATATTGACGCTATGTTTCTATTTATATGTATATTGACGGTCAATATAAAAAAATCTTGCTAAATTTAGATTTTTGACACATAATAACCATGGAGGAAGCGCCATAGCAGACGAAAAGAAAATTTGCAATTTTATCAGAAGGAGATTTCAAGAATTTTATGTTAAATGCAGACGCTAAGAATCCAACGAGCTATGAAGTTATTCAAAGAATATTGATATTTTCAATAACATGTTAAAATTCTTTCAAAATACAATTTAAAAATACGCAGAAAGACCATTAAACGCCATTTTTCTAATACATTATTTACATATGTAATATATATAAATTAAGGACTTTCACTCGGTCAATACGTTATATATGGACGTGTTAAATTATATTGACACTCGGACTTCGTAATAGGATAAGGACTTTGTATGTATATTAAACACGAAGAAAAACTGATGTACACTCCCAAGTTATAAATAATATAGTCAAGCCTTAAAAGGTAAATTCAAACAGTGGCTGTAACGTGATGGTACCCAAATTGCACCTATTTTGACAGATTTTTCGCCTACGTTTTTTTATGATCCAGACAAAAGTTTCCATTCTTTGTTTATTTTGTAGATGTATCCTTATTTACTATATAGTTACACCAATTTAATATTGAATCCATATTGAATCATAGAAAAATGGGTTTGAACCAACCTCCAAACGATCAAGGATTCTGTAATGAGGAGTACCCAAATTGCATCCATGCTTAAATTCACATCCTTAAAAATCGAATAACAGATGTTTTGTTTTATTTCTTCAAATATTTAGAACAATTTGAAATTAGTGCATGCTTACTATTCATTTTTTAAGAAATGGATGTTTGTTACATATTTAATTTGCTCATTTTTAAAAGATGACTTTTTGAGAACGTCGCATGGCGACGTTTCCGTAGATTTACTTTTTCCAGTGAAAGTTTCATCTGTTGATATAAACTGAAAACGTTTTGTGTATATTTAAATATATTTACCTATGTTGAAAAACGTGTATTAATTTATGTCAAATCATAAAAATACAAATTGTTTAGTCTCAAAGAAAACTTGTAAGATTTCCGCAGCTATTTTTGTTGAATAGGTGCAATTTGGGTACTCGGTGCAATTTGGGTACTGTGACGTTATATATACGCTTTTCTGTTTACAACTAAAATTCAGCAATGCTTTTAATTGACTTGTGTAAGAATCTACTCACAATTACATATTTTCAATAAAGGTGTTTTAACATCATCAGTACCTTATTCTATTCAGTCAATTATTTCAAATCTAAAGCAAAAAAAAAATCAGCAACATTTTTTTGGTGACCAGTCAGCGGTCTCGGGATCACGTATTGCTTTTCTTTTTTTAAAGAAAGCAACTTGATTATAAATTTATTGTTTTGATAGTAAATAAACTTTCTTGTCGCCATTTGTATTTTTCTTCTTGGCGCTATTTTTTTCCTTGTCGCAATTTTTTTCTTTTTGTCGCTTCTTGACGATTCTTGTCGCTTAAATTCTTCTTGTCCCTAATTAGTGAGACCAGAGACATATAATACAAATAATTGTATTATATGTCTCTGGTGAGACCGAATGGACCGGATCGAAAACAGTGTTTTAGCACTTTCAAATTTCTCAGCTGATTGGTCGCGAATGACCTCATCCAGATACGACGAATAACCAGCATATAACTTTGATCAAAACATCAGTGATATATTTATTGTCAGGTATAAGTAAATTTGGGACGATTACACAGGTATAAAATATTGTTTATTGACTTTAACATGATAAAAATAAAAGGTATATTAAACTTTGATAAAGCGGAACTTTACATAGATGATTCATCTCCCCAAACTGGCTTGTGCGGAGTTTACACATAACCCACAGGCACTTGTCTCTGAAAAAAAATTCCTATATACCTTAATCATGTTAATGTAACAGTGTTATATTAAGGTATATAGGATTTTTTTTCAGAGACAAGTGCCTGTGACATAACCAATAATTGTCAGGTTAGGAACAACCACCAAATGGGGAACTATTCCCCAAATGAGTAACAATTATAACATAATGGGCTATTCCAGAAATAATCCATACCCCCCTATAGAAGGTTAAGGATTTCCAGAAAAAAAAATCTGTAAAAAACTCTGATTTTCCAGAAAAAAATCTCCTCGTCGTCAATAATTTCCAGAATATTTAAAAAATTCGAAAAAATATTCCAGGGAAAAAAATGAGAATAAGAAAATTTCCAAGAAAATATCCCTTGGTAATAAATATTTCCAGACAAATTTAACTTTCAACACAAAATTTCCAGATAAAACATTTTCATGAAGCATATATACTTTTTAATATTGTTTATGTTGTGTCATACATGTAGATGATTCAGATCAAACTCATTCATTCAGTGTATGCTTACTTGTTTTTGTTTAAATGTCTTTTTGATCAAGTTCAGCCATTTTAATTGATTTTTTATAGTGTTTTTTTTTATATTGTAATGTTACACTACGGTCTCGGGTTAGGTTGAAGGTTGGCTCCTCTTATAATGTTTAAAACCGCTGCATTTTTATGCACCTGTCCTAAGTCAGGTACCCGTTTTTCAGTGGTTGACGTTTGTTGGTGTGGTACATGTAACTGGTTCATAGGTGTTTCTTGTTTCTGGTTTTTCAGTTAATTTTGGGGCCCTTTATAACTTGTTGTTTGGTGTGAGCCAAGGCTCCATGTTTTTGACCTATAATTATTAACTTTTTAATTGATACACTGTGATTTGGATGGAGAGTTGTCTCATTGTTACTTATTTATATCAACTTATTCATGACATTGTTTTTAAAGTTATAAGATGACTTAAAAGCTCATTAGAGTTAACAATATAACGTGATTAAAGCGTTCAGCTAATTTTACAGATTTATCTCCCTGTAGTGTAAATACCAACTTAAAATAAAATCACAAAACTTTTAAACAATCGTTAAACTCTAAATTTGTATAATATGAATGACATTTTCAATGTATATTTACATGTTTATAGTTAAAATAAGTTATGGAACTGAAAGATCGGTATAAATACATGTATCTTCATGTAGTACAAGTAATTAGTATACTATTAATATCCACAGAAATGGCCATGTGTTCACAGTGGAACTTCTTTAAAGCTTTAATTACTGATTGTTTGTCAACTGAAATGCTGAATGGCTAGATAAAATAATCTTCAGCCTCAACAATAAATAACAACTATGAAAAGCAGAAAGTCCTGGTGTGTGGTTTCTCACAATTTAGGTCCAAACAAATTTCAATACAAACATACTTGTAGAGAACGTACATAGAACCCTGTAAATCCAGATAGTGAACTATGTTGAGTTTTTTTTAAACACTGTTTGTAAATAGTTGTAAAAATCTTGGTTACCAACATCTGATATATTTACATTTCTTTTGATTCTTCATTTCTAAGTATGGATGTTTTGCATTTTTTATCATAAACCTTATAGCTGGATTACATTATGACTCCTTCACAATAAAATAAACAAACTTGAATGGAATAATAACTATTGGTCTACAAGCAAGTTTGTTTACAAAATCAAAAGTTTTAGTACTGTTAGTGAAATTTGCACATCAGAACCATATTTATAAAGCTTTTTTTTATTTTTTGTCATGAATAAATTATAAAATACACAGTATTCATATACAACTAAATTTCACTTAGTTCTAGAAATGTAAGTTTCAAAATAAGTTTTTGAATATAATCATCTTTCCAATTGCAGGATTTTAAATTTTATCTGCTTTTCATGATCTGGTCACTTTTGCCAAATTTTTTTCCACAAAAATTTGCATGGAATCATTTTATAAATCATAATAAATAAATAGTTTACTAGGCATTTTGCTTATCAACTATTTGAATTAATGACTTATAAAGAATTGATGTTCAAGTTAGTATTAAGACTAGTATACATGTACATGTATTAATTTATATGTTCCCTTCCCACAATTAGTCCTGCCTATTACATATAAAATTAATGCGAGTCTTCAAACAACAACTTGAAGTCTATTTCAATGAGAAAACTTCATGCTCTATATTGAGTTTCCCTATTTATGAAAATGCAAAAAAGAAAAAAAGTTCTATGATGCCAATATACTGATATACATGCATGTAACTTCCATGGTAAAAGAAAGACATGAAAATGATGATGGGAGTTTTTAACGACCTTGACTGGCTGTACAGCCCTCGCACGGTCGGTATTATTGAAAATATTGTCATCTCTCCAATAAGTAGTTGTGGAATGCCCCAATAAGCTAAATAGCAAACATGTCATGTGGGGTTGGAAGTAGGCATCTCTTTGAAGTATTATTACTATCAACATCTACATGTATATCCCCTGAATGTATTAATGTTGGTAGCTGAAGTACATGTACACATATACATATTTTACTATTTTTTAGGTCCTATTGCAAATGATTTCAAATTTACAGGTACAATTTCTACAAATATCAGGCTGAAGTTCAGTACTGACTACTCTGGCTTACAACATGTACAATGTATACTATGGAAACACTTTGTACATGTATAAAAAATAAGTAAGATGTGGTATCATTTCCAAATTGCCAATAAGACAACTCTCCACTAGTCCAGATAAGCATGCTGTCTGCTGTGGGTATTTTTCAATTTTGACTTTTTTTTTTCCACATTGATGCAGGTAGGTTGTGTCAAAGCAAAAATTTAGAATAGCCTTCATAGACTCATAATTATTTGGACTAACGAGTCTAACGTAAACTCTCCACCAGAGATCAAACGATACAAAATTAAAAACTAAAGAATACCATACAGCCATCAACAATGAGCAAAACCCAAACCACATTCTGGCGCATAGTTTGTAAAGGTATATTGGGCTTTAGCATTTCCAAATGAACTATCGGTATGCCTACAAGCTCAAATCTTAGATTTACTGAAAGCGACTATAATTCAGATTTTCCATGGAATTTTTAAACTTTTATATTTGCCTTCTATTGGATGGCTCTGGATTTCCAGAAATTTTTCTTAAAACAACAGCATAGTTCAGTTTCTTGTATATTCCTCCATTAATTGTGGAGCACTACCCATAGGGTATAATTGTAGCAACTATATACACCTTAGAACATAAGGAAGCATTTAATTATGTACAGATGACTGAATTTAGGCAATAATAATTACTAAAAATTAATATTATAACTAATTCATAGGATTGTCATCATAAAATTTTAAAAATAATATTCATAATGTGCTGAAGTGTAAGAATAAATTAAGTAAGAACTGGATATATTTACAAATAAGAATTTAGAATTTAAGTGGTCTTAAATTAAACTTTCTTATAATTGTTAGTTAAAGGTGCTATACGTACTTCAGAATTTATAATGAGAAGGTTATTTTACAGGACTTATGTAAAAGGGTTGGGGTTTAGAACAATTCATCATATATACATAAGTTTACCTTCACAGTTTAAAGTTACCTTATTTCGGATCTTATCATTATTCTTTAAAGGTAACTGGATATCTTAAAACTTTGCAAATTTTTTTATGTAATTAGGGTCCTAATACGTCATAAAATAGTAAGATGGTAAAGTAGGGAACTATTTTATTTTAAAAAAGTTTACTTATACTGTACTGGTGTTCAAGTTTTTAATCCTTTTTGTGCGCAGCATGTGCATCTTGTAGCACATATTTCTAGCCAGAGTTTCAATGTTTTCATACACAGTTGAGTAACAGTTTATGTCCTTGCTAGTACAGTCCATTATGAGCTGCAGTAAATTCCCTTCTTGTATGATCTTCTTGTATGTTGAGGTGTTGATTTCATCCATTGTTTGTTCTATTTTTGAGCAATATTTAGATCTTATTTGCTCCAATTCTTTGCAGCGTAGAATAAAATGTTCCAGATCTTCATTTTCCTGTTCACAGATTGTACATATCGGGTTAACTTTCGGATCGAACTTAGCTCTTTTGGCTTGTAATATGTACGTTTGAGTACTTATTCTTGCATTTATTTCTCCTGCCTTTACATCTTTACTATTGTTTTTTACACTTTTCCATATATTGTGTGCTTCATTTAATGGATTGTTCTGTATCTCTATGTATTTAAGTGATGTTTTTTCCATTTTTTCATAGTGACATTCATTTTTCCAGTATTCCTTGATCTTTATTCCTACTAGTCTTTTCCATTCGATTTTCTTAAGTGGTTTTTCTATGTAGTAACTACTAGATTTCAAATTGTATTTTGATAGAGTTTTTTCCACTCTGTTGATAAAGTCTTTTCCTCTTTGGTCTGAGAATGCTATTTGTCGACGCAGAATTTCACATTCTATGGCAGTGATCTCCCCAGGCCGTTTTAGCGTCGCGGCCCCGCGATGCTATAATTTTTTACCGTGACGCTATAATAATTTCCGCGACGCTATTATTATTTTGAGGACGCTATTTTTTTCTTGTCTGCTCTATACATTGCCGCAATATCGATGTCCTAAATTTCGAACTTTCATCGAATTGCCGCTTGTGATCATAAAAATTATATCATCTTTAATTGTAATCCCTTCAAATCGGACATAAGAGGCAATTAAGATTGATTAAATAGGTTTTAATTGCCCTTTGGGTGATAACTGTTTGGATACGAATACCCCAAGCTGACACTTATGACATGACTGATAACACGTGGCCCAATTGCAAAATTTTGACATCGAGAAAATCATAAACAATTCGAAATCTACGTTTGAATCAAGGCAAATTCGTCTCCTAAGAGAAGAAAAAAAA